CCCATAGACTTGTGGGCATCCAGCCGAAGGAAACTTCGGTACATTTCAGTACAATGTGATCAGCCACAAATAAATGTTTGTCTTTAACAAAGAAAAAGAGTAAGTGTCTAATTGACATCGTTTAAACTGTCAGGCTCCTGCCAAGATTGAAGCAAGGACTTTCTCTCTTAGGGGGATAGCCTTACCTGTCCACCTCTTGAGCTGAGGTGGAGGATTGCCCTGGTAGTAGATGTATGACTCCTAAAAGCTAAAGCTTCCCAGTTCTGCAAGGATAGCTGAGCCTTCCCAGTCTTGGCTACGTAGCTTCCCTTGCTGGTTCGTAAATGCAGCGGATCTGCTCTTGGTGGAACTCTGCTTCTGCCACACAAGGACAAGTTCCTCCTTGGTGAGGAACTGTAGCTTCATGTCTACCGTGACCTACAAAACTGAAGTAATCACTTACGGTGCAACCGTGTGTTGTAGATGTGACTTGTATGTGGTGGCTGCAGGACACCTTCCTTCTGAAATGTCATTTTGGTGGTCAGGTGGCACTCACAGTTCACGTTGACCTGTGCGTTGGTGCTCTCTTTTTATTTGCAGTGATCGCTATTGACATTGATCCTGAGAAGCTCAGTCTGGCACGCAACAACGCCGAGGTGTACGGCGTGGCGGATCGGATAGAATTCGTGTGCGGAGACTTCATGGTGTTGGCTGCTGACCTGAAAGCAGACGTCGTGTTCCTCAGCCCACCCTGGGGAGGGCCTGACTACGCCACTGACGAAATCTTCGATATACAAACCATGATTTGCCCAGATGGATATCCTTTCAAAGTTATGCATTGTTGTGATTTTCAATTGTTCAGGAATAGTTTTCTCTATTTCTTCTCCTCTTTCTCTTGACCTGGGCTTTGCATATGTAATTGACTGATTGAGGACGGTATGACCAGCAGCTGAAGTCCTAGATATGCTGCATTTATTTAGTCCTCCTCCCCCAGCCTCAGCTATAAGACTTTGACCACCTAAAGTGAAATATTTTTATTATAATTTTTTATTTTAAAAAAGTCATAAAGAGTTATTCTTAAAAGTAAGAAATCCTTTAGAGAATTATAGTAGCTTCTTAACTTGAAGCATTAATTCAGCAGTTTTAACTCCTTTGTATTATTTTATTAAAATACCCTGAAGTAATCAAATAGTCATGTGGTTTGTGTATGTAGGTAATGATTAGTTATGTGAGCTATGACTTTGTCATTAATTCCACTTTTTAATTGATTTGTAAAAAATATATCTTATTTCAAATATCTTACTCAAACTATTCTCAGTCATAGCACTTGCCTATGACTTGAGAAATCACAGAAGAGTGCAAGCAAAATACTAACCCTTTTTAATTAATGTATTAAATTCCATACTAACTTATTAACAGTGTTATTGAGCACTCATTCAGCTGGGAAGGTATTAGTGTAATAGCTTCATCAAATACGAAGTGTGGTGGGTTTTTTTTCCTGAAAAAATAATGTCAGTTGTTACCTTTTTGGCTAAAATGTAGCCATATTTGTAAGAGTAAGGAAACTCTACAAAAGAGTAAGAGAGGAGACTCTACAAAATGGATTAGAAAACAAATATCAAACCAATGTACTAGCTATAAACTACACAAATTTCTCAAATAGTTCTCTGTAGTTCAGTTAAGTTTTCTTAAAAAGTGAGATGTTTAGGGGTTGTTTTTCTTCTACTTTCTAGGGCAATAATGGTGAAATAGAGGTTCTGCATTTAGGCAATACTGATTTCTGCATTTCAGAAGAGTATCTAACTCACACACCCAGAAAACTAACTGTAATTTAATTGCATAGTAAGTGAATTTGGAACATGCTTTCAAAAGAAATTAATATAAAGCAACTTCTCCTTCCTGGTTTTTTCCTTTATTGGCTTCTACATTTGAAATTTTCAGGCTTTCCAAGAAGATCACCAACAACATTGTGTATTTTCTACCTCGGAATGCTGACATTGACCAGGTGCGTTACTGGATGAGAGCTTGGTAATCACAAAAAGCTCAACTGGCTTAGGACATAGTTGGTATAAGCACAAACTTAAGACTTCTACGTCCGTTCAGCTGAATGTGGGGGGGTGGTTTGTTTTGAGTTTAGACCTTACATTAAGTGATTTCTGTGTCTACAGTACTTTTGATATATTTAGAAATGGGAATAGTAGATTATTTCCATGATTTTGTTACTGTTCCTTCATAAAGCAACAGATCAGAGGTTCTTATAGAAGATCCAGAGCCAGTAGTTTTTGAGTGCCAGACAGATACATCATTATAAAAGAAAAAAAAAAAAAGGGAATTTAATCAGCTCATAGTATCTGATAAGTTGCTGAGTCCTAAATTTTTGTGACTTTCAGTTTATGAAGGAGTTGCAGGAGATCACTGTACAGCCTGCAATCACTGCTATCAATGACTAGTAGATAGAGACAAATGTCATGCCACCAGAGGTATGATGCTGTCCACACAATTGTGTGGTTCTGTATGGGCTGCTTGTATTGCAGTGGTTAGATAGTTAATGCATCACTGCCTTCATAAACACTCAATTTGTTTCACTGGTGTGGGTTTTTTTGTATTAGAGATTTTGGTTAGAATTTTGTTTTTTAAGTAATTAGATGACTGTAACAATTCCCCTGAGTGTCTGGTTTAGTTTCCTCTGTGCATTTTCTATGTTAATTACGTCTTGTAGCTTTTTGCAAAGAAGGGAGCAGCTAGATGTTCTCATTTGCAACATGCCGTAGAACTTTCCAGGATTACTTCCTGCTTTTCCAAAAGTTGTATCTGACTTAGAGCAGGCAGGGTCTTAAGCCACACGGTGGCTTGCAGGATTGTTGGTGAGAAACACGCTAATATTCACATGGCCTCAGTACTGGCTAACTATGAGCCCGTGCTATGCATAGCATCATTTGTAATGCAGGTGATGATTCAGTTGCGTTTTACATTTCACGCTGGTGAAATATCAAAGTGGTTTATGTATCTTTGAACAGGGACCTTAATTTTAGGCAGAGTTTCTCTAGTTTCAACTTCTAACCCCACTGCATTTTGTCAGATGTTTCATTCCCACAATGAAGAATGATCTTACCAGGTTTCTGCTTTGCTCATGATCACTTTTTACTGGATTTATAAATGGGCAAAGGCATTTAAATTTCACTTATGTTCCCACAAAAATATCTAAGAGTACAGGCCTGCACCTGTAGATTCCTACAGATTAGCTCAGCACCTCTATGTGATTGGGTTAGGTGTCTTGCCACCTCCACATCTTGGTCCAGTTGGCTCTGAATGTTGTTGGTGTGCTCTAAGTGTTCCTTGATGTACATGCACAGGTCTGCCTTTACACAAATGGCTGAAAAGTAACTGCTGTTGCTCAAAACCATGGCTTTGTGGTCACAGCTTAACTGTTAAAAGCACGTGGCTGTAGACCTGGGTTCAGTTCGATCGTGCAGGCTGCTCTCAGGAAGAGAAATCAACTCCTTTTGCCTCTCTCTAGAGATTGTGCCAGTATAAGGAAAA